ATTTTGATGACAGTGAAAATTTCTCCATGACAGCCATTTTGTGAGAGCACTCCTGACACACTCTCAAAGCTCCAAATGGGCCCACTGACTTTAAATGACTGGGGATCTCGATTTGGGGAGTGGTCAGTCCTTATTGAGTGCTTCAGCTATCCTCTGGTGTAAATCATTTCCTTGGAAATATTTAGAGTGGCTATGATGCAACAGTGAAATGTGTTTTGTCCACCATTACATGAGGCAGCCAGACCAAAATATGGTGGTGGTGCCGGTGGTGGAAGTAAACAAGTGCAGATAATTAGTAGCTTGCATTTAAAAGATATTAACATCTCTTGATAAGTGGCAAGATGATTTCTTTGACTGCTGCACTGTTCTATGTAGAGGCGTTCTTCCCACATTTCCTTAATAGCTTCTTGGCTTGCATGGTGGTATTATGGTTAATGCTCTGCTTATCACAGCCCGTCTCCCTCTGAGACAGAAGTAATTGATAGACGCTTTACTGCTTGCCTTATGCCGGAGCACAGCTTTATTTTGTGCAGCCGATTGCATCCAAAGCTCTCACATCACTATATGGGGTTAAATAATATAGTTAGAGTTGAATAATTAATCGCAGAGGGTAAGAAGAAATTAAGACCCAGCACAAGGAAGAAGAGAGATGCTCTCTGCTGAGATTTGAGACGAGACCAACAGTCAGTGAAACAGACAGGCAGGAGGTCTGTGTCAAAGTACGGAAGCTGCCGAGAAGACAAAAATGGCTGGGCAAAGCAGAGAACTAGGGTCAGAATAAGTTGTAGGATGATGGGTCAGCAACAGATGAGGCTTGTTGAAGCTGTATAAAACAATACTTGAATGAAGACTTTTCCAAAGTGAAAGAAGAAATCAGCATTAGATATTTAGACCTTAGGTCTGAATAAAATGAACTAGATGGTGAGGCTGAAGACTTGAGGTTGCCGATCCCCCGCCCCCTCCAGCAGAGATGCTATTTTTCTTTAAAGCAAATGGTAATAGAGAATATTTGCAAGTCTAATACTGCAGGGCATGTGACACATGCTTATCTTAGCCCTGAGATCTCACTACCGCATTTCTACTATGCATCGTGCGTTATGTGTGAGGCTGTTTTGACTGAATAACCTACATATTCCATATTTTAGTAACTCACTGAAATATCTCATGAGGAAGAGTGGAAAAATTAAAGTGGGTTACTCACTCAGTTCATTAGAGAAGGTAGACAATGAAATAGTCAGGATAATCCATTTCCTCCCCACAGTCCTCTTGCTGAGATGCCAGTATGTAGTCAAATGTTCAGGCAAAATGGCAGATTTGAGACTGGTCAGTTGTTGTCCTACACAGCAGGGGTCAGAGAGGGCTTTTTCAATAACAGCATCTTCCAGCTGAATGGAGCTAGGCTTTCCTCTAAGGTGGCAAACCATTATGTCACTTTCCCCATGTGTCTCACCCACTTGACTAGGCTTTCCCTGACTGCTTTAACCTGACAGAATAGGTAGAGATAAGGTTAGCTCCACATGACCAAAGAAATCAGATTGTCCTTGTCTGCACAAACTGAAATATATGCACCACAACTAGACAAATAGGTGCTAAAGGTGTATCCCTTGGGGTGCTTCTGGGGTGGATTTGAATCCTTTTTACCTGTAAAGGCTCTGAAACAAAATGCCAAGACCTCTTCCATTTCTCTGGTCTTTTATGGAATAGTCCTTTGGTTACATGAAACAGACGGTAATGAGAGGGGAAAAATACTTTATTTGCTACCATCATCAGCACAGGTTTATCCAGGGAGCCTGTCATTGCTTTAGTCAGTCTATGGCACTTCATCACCCAGTGCTTCCTCAAAAACAAAGTTGCTTCTCTGGCTCCATCAGCATGGATAATAATTGTGTCAAGCTCCCAGCAGAGTTACACCACTGCCCAAGAGGTTCATCAGGGCTTCAACACAATTACTGGTGGTGGATCCAAGAAGTCTGTGCATTGAGAATGCAGCCCATAGAAACTTTCATAGCCTAACAAAGGAGTAAAGCAACTCTTGGTCAACAAGACTGATTTTAGGTTGCTTTATTTAAATTAATCCATTTAAAGCCAAAAATATGTGCCTAAGCTGTGAAACTCTACCCCCACCCCTTTGTCCAGATATTTGGAACAAAGTAAAAGGTTACATATACTAGTGAAAAGGAATGGGTTATTTTTCTGGCAAATAAGCACAGTCCCAGCACTGGGCTTTGTTTTAGGTCAAATCTCATAAAAATCACAAACACAAACCTCAAACATTTCCTTTGGGATCATGCCTGTCAAAATAAAGGTTTCACTTTGTATTCAAATGACTCTTTTGTTCCAGAGCTGGTCAAAGGAAGCCAGTTGGGACTATTACCAACTGTAATATTAGTTTCAAAGTCTGCTCTTCGGAAACAGACAAGCATCAATAAAAAGTCTGGGCGGCTGTCTCCGCAGGATGGAAGACCAGGCGGGTGAATTATGCAAAAGAAGGGAAGGGAAACACAATGCCTGAGCATATGTGGGAACACCTCCTAACCTGGAGCTCCCTGTTGGTGCTGGATTATTTCCCCAGGGAGATTCCCCGTCCTGTCTGACTAATAAGCATTTCCATAGAACAGCAGTGTGGCCTCTTCATATTGCTGTTGTTTAAGGTGTCACTTTAATAAGTCCGCCACAAATCCTGTGAGGTCTGCAGAAGTTCCATTCATTTTAGTAATAAAGTTCCAGGGCAAACCATATAAAAAGTCAATGGACCCCCAGTGTTCTGGCGACACACACTGAATTACTGAGAACTTGTTAGCTCTCACATTCAATTGAGCACTGCTCGGTTACATGCACTCTAACAGAAATATCATGCTGTGTTTTCGACCAGGCTTGTTGACGTGCATGTTCTGTTATACTTCTTAGGTGGCTAAGGAAGATTTTGGAGGATTGCTCTGGCAGGGGCCATAGAGAGCACCCGTATGGGAACTAGTTATGAGGCAGCTGCCTTGGTTCAATCTGGACCGTTTCGGCTCAGTGGGTTGTATCCAGCAGGTTCTGTCCAATGTTACTCTAACCTAATTCCCATTCATTGCAATGTCTCTCTTATAAGTAGGACCACTCTATCCCCTGTGAGTGGGGAACTGGGCCCCAAACATGAGCATTCCAAAGTTTTGGCAGATACATCATCTATGGAGTTGCAAGAATTTCACATATCCCTCTCAGGCCTTTGTTTTATACCATTTATTTTGAAATGCTTTAATTAGAAAAATGTGGATAAGTCCTGAATTGTCGTATAATTTGTACTTGATGTATGGAAATTTCAGATGTTCCATTTTTTTCCAAGTGATGGTCATTGTCTATATAATTTGAAGATCTAATTAACAATACAGTTCAGATGTCTGCATTTCACATGTGCGATGGAAAAAGCAAGCACTTTAAAACTGGCATTGAAATGAAATGGTATTCAGTTTTTACCGGCTGCATGAATATGCTTTCCAGTTTGCTTTGCTCTAATTTTGAACAATGCAGGGAGAAGATCAAGCCCAACTATTCCATTGTACACATCCGTAACTGTTGTTTTGTAGTAGCCAAGCAAAGACTGTGGCCCGCCAAGACATTTGCGACAGCCTGACAGACAGTCCTGCATTTGCCACTGCAGTAGAACTGTGCTTGTGTTTGTGTTTTGTTTTGTTTTGTTGCTTGTACCAGCAAGAGAATCCATAGGCATGCATGCAGGTGTGCTGTGTAACCCCTTGATGCCATCCAGCACAGCCACAAAGTTAAAAATGTCATGGACCCCTCTTCTGAGGATCCCAGCCAGAGCTTGCTCTGCCCTGCACCTTCTCATACCCTGTCTCCATATTCTGGAGGGCTGCTGGGAGAAAGGGGAATATGCTCAGGCAGTGATCTCTGTTCTTCCACCACCTGTACACAGTTGAACACAGCCCCACACCTTCTCCAAAAAAGTGCTGTGTTTTAAAGTCGATTAGGGTTTGAGCCATTTAAATGCCATTAGGTACTCGAACTAAGCACAGAGATGAGATTTCAGGGAGAAATGTGTGGGGATGTTACCTCCTGTAGAAAGTGGTCCTCTCTAATAGAAAATGGAAACAGAGAGAAATGGAGGCACTTGTAATCCTTTCTTAGTGCACATTTAGGAGCATCGATAAAATTCATGGCTTCATTCTGGGGATAACAGGGTCACCAGAAAGGATGGTCCCACACGTCCAGATGCAAAAGTATATTGTTTTGGATAGTCATTTATGACAGTACCTCAAAAGTTTTGAACAAGAGGGAAATGGACTTTGTATGAGAGCATATGTGGTGTAGTGGTTAGGAGTGCATGACTGGGACTCAGGCGACCTGAGTTCTAATCCCCGCTCAGCCATGGAGGTGACTAGGTGACTTCAGGCCAGTCACAGACTCTCTGTCAACCTACTTCACAGGGTGGTTGTCATGGGGATAAGACTGAGAGCAGGAGGAAGAGAATGATATAAGCCACTTTGAGTACTTTATAAGGAAAAAAGGGGGGATATACATCTGATAAATAAATAACAAGCTGAGCTCCCTAAATGAAAGGCCAGTTCCTACAAACTAATCCAGCAAGGTGTTCAATATAAGGGGTGGCCTTGCCAAGCTAAATCCTTGGTCCATCGAACTCAGTGTTGTCTACAGTGATGAGGAGTTACTCTCTGGGGTTTGAATGGGCTCTTTCCCCACCTTCCCCAGTGTTGGCAAGGATTGCACTTAGGACTTTCTGCTTGGAAATACCCCACACCACTGAAACATGGCCCTTTCTCCCAAAACCTGTTTTATGGAAGCTGTGAAGCACGACCATGCCACACCTCCTCCTCCTCTGGCTCCACAGACACCATCAATCTAGTTTCCTAGTGAGTACCTGCTTCACAAAACTTAGGCCCCTTTTGGTTGCTGCTGTACTAATAGTGTGGACCGCTCGCTGCTGTGTACAGTGCTCTGAAGTACTGGCCTCATTTGTGCTGTTCTCCACCTTGCAGCTGACCAGAGAGTTCTTCACCAAAGAACTGAAAAAGCACTATCAAGGGAACAACGAGTCCGATGTCTTCTCAACCACCTGGAACTCGGTCATGATCACAGTGAGTCATCGCTTGCTTGGTGCAACCTTAAGTGAATTGCCTAGCACCAGATGCCAGATTCGCCGAAGCTGTAAGCAGGATTTCCCAGTGAATGACCCAAACCTTTGACCTAGCAAGGTTCTGTGGCACAGCTCAGCTGGGAAGAATACCACAGCTAAAAACTGTTTCGTATCTGTTTAGTATCCACCCATCAGAACAGAGCACTTTATTATAGGAAAGCGGTAATAAATGGCTGGCTACTATGACATGATATATGACCACAGCTCTAACCGACTAGCAGAGCCCAAATATGCGGCTTTTCCAAAAGTGAACTGGGTTGTTTCAGGAACCTCCTGTTCTGCAGCTGTGCATGGGCAGTGGGGCCAGTGGAGGGGAGTTTGGGGGTTCTGGTGCAGCAGCATCGGTGCCCAGTTGCCTAATGGCGAACTTTACTTGCTTGCTTGTCACTGAACTGCAACAAATGCGTGCTCGGGGCCTCGACAGTTTCCTAGGCACAGAGGCAGTATTTGTACACTGGTACAGTGCCTACAGGGTGATGGTCCCTGTCCACATGTACAGCAGTAGCTAGGATAGTTCCTGCCCAGCCTACTAAAAGATGCTGAAAACCCTCAGATCAGCTCCTCAGGTAAGGAACTGGGGGCTGGCTTTAGCCTTTTAATAGCACTGAGTTGGACTGGGAAAACAAGCAGCAACATCCCTACATGTGCCTGATTCCTGCTCTGGCGATGGGTACAGAAGCCCAAGTCCCTTCCCTCTTGCATCAGGTCATAGTTGTGGTCATAGTTATTTTCTCATCTTTCTGAGCTGGACAACTGAAGCAACCATTTATTTCCATGGCTTTTCTTTCAGTACTATCATTTTATCAAGACAGGGGGTTTTGGTCTTAATTTTGTCCAGCAATTTGGAAACTAATGTTATTTAAAAGTTTAATATAGTGGAAATCTGAATGGTGCTAGAAGATCAGTGTTTGACTATCTGGGTGAGTCCTTCTGTACCTTATTGTAGGCTAGGCCTATGGTGCATCAGTTACATTGAGAGTCAGGGGCCCTAGGAATTATTCTGTGGCATAAATCACTAGCCAAAAGTCTAATGAAGATGATGGGGGACAGCTCTCGTTATGTTTTAAAGCTGGTGTTTTAGTTTTACTTTCCTGTCTCATGCGCCTTTCTGTCTTAATAAACGGAATACTGAAATAGAATTTTCAGACTAAGGATCCATATTCGACGCAGGGTATAGTTTGTGCCAAGGCAATCCTTGTTCTGAACGAAGAAGAGCTATACTGTGCAACCAGTATACGTTATGGAAACTAAGCATATTTGTATATATTTGCATAGTTACTTTGTGTTTCCTAATAATGCAGAAGAGTAAGATGGTGGACAGGTCACTATAGCCAGCCCCCTGAGCAAGAAGCGCTCTGCTATACTATCTTTCATACTTACGGATTTTACAATATATTATACCCACAGATTCTGGCTGGCTGGCTGGCTCGCTTGCTTGTCCGTGAGGGCTAGAAACGTGCTTTCTTGGTTTAAAGAGGTGGAAATTTTAGAAGGACATGGAATGTGTGCTATCAGTTAATGCTTGCATAAAGTGCATCAGCCAGCCAAATTGAACCCATTTGCCTGGATAGTTCTTGCATATTCTCCTTCTTCTCATATTTCTCCTCCTATGCTGTTTTTGAAGAACATGCTCTGTGTTGCCTTCTGTCCTGAAAGAAAACAATTTAAACTTTTGACAACCTGTCCTGTGTGCTAGTTTGGCTGCTGTGGAGTCAATGGTCCAGAAGATTTTGAAACTGCCCCTCGTTTCCTCCTGTATTCACACGATGTAGTTCCTGAAGCTTGTTGCCGGCGGGAGCTCCAGTCTCGAAATGGAGCTTTCATCAACAAAGAAGAATGCCTTAAGGGGAAGGACATGTACCAAAACCGGCAGGTAAGAGGTACACCGAAGTGGGTCTTTATACAGAATTGTAAACTCCTGCGTGGTGGCGGGGGTATGGCATCCACAAAGCTTTTATTTGATGAAAGCTTCTCTGCCTTAGTTATTGCAGAATTTCCCCTTGCTTTGCCAGTTCCTCCACGTCTGTCTGGATTATGGAGAGTTTCTTCCAGGTGGTTCACGCTTATTCATATTTTATGGATGGGGAACCGAGACTGAGAAATAGCAGGTTGCCCAAGGCCACACAATCTATGAGTAGAAATGGATGGGAAGTGAGCCTGAGGAGATCTCTCTTGTAATTGCAAACTATAGATAAATGCACCTTGAGCATCGTGCAGGATTAAAAATCTTTTGTTTGTGTATTTTTCCCTCTGACTGACAAAAAGATAATTCAAAGGAGGGCCAGTCTGAGGGTAGGCAGCTTGGCTGGGCAATCTTTATCTTCCAGTTGCTGAAAGAAGGAAATGTTCCTTCCCGCTGCCTCTTTGACTTCCAGCTATCCTGTTTAGCAGCAGCAGGAGTGGAGGAGGAAGGCATGATCCAGGAGAAGGGCTCCCGTGGGCTGAGTGTGTGAACAAACAGTCATGGAGCGATGTGCCAGGATTTATGGGGAGGTGTGGAGGAAAATAAGCTGAACCGGCAGCTCCCAAAGGGGTGGCTGGTTGGCCCGGGTGGGAAACACAGAGAGCTAGAATGATTATTGGCCATTGGTTTGAGGATTCCCTGTGATTTGGATATCATTGCAGTCTCTCACCAGCCTTGTCTTGGTACTAAGTATTAGACAGAAACTGGAATGGAGACTTAACGGGCGAGATTTTTTTTTTTAATGTGAAAATCTCAGAACCTACCATTAGACATAGAGCTTAGACACCTTCTTTTCTTTCATATGTGGCAAGTTCCATGATTTTGAGTGCAATAAAATACAAACTTAAGACCTTGTAGCATCACAGCAGGCTTGTACCTGAGAAACACACATACCAGTTTACCTTATTCTTGTTCCAGATAGTCAAAGGTATTTAGGCTTTGTCTAGAATGCAGCCATTTACCTCTTGCGAGCTCTGTTGCAAAAGGAAATGAGGTATAGTTGAAAATGTGTGGAGTATAAGATTATCAATGGCCAGTAGTCCAGCTCACTATATGCTGCCTCCCGTATCGGAGGTGGCATGCCCCGGTATAGCAGCTGCTGGGGAACATGAGCCGGCCGGTGTTCTTGCACTCCTGCCCTGCTTGAGGACCCGATCTGCAGTTGGTTGGCCACCATGTGCTGGGCTGAGGGACTTTTGGTCTTGAATAAATGTTTTGGATTATCCCGCTTTGCAACAAGATGTCCATCTTGAAGGGCCAAGGACTCTCTAGTACTATTTCTGTCAAGCCTGCCTCCAGATGACAACTTAGTTATTCAACTTGGTGCCTCCAAGATCCGTGCTGTTGAGTCCCTTGATGTCTTGTTAGTCATTAAAAGAAAAAAAGAAAAGAAAAGCCCTGAAACTCTTTGAATAAAAGTTTGACTTTGACTGAAATTTGTTTCCTTTTTCCAGGGCTGCTACACTGTGATACTTAATTCCTTTGAGACATATGTGTACCTTGCAGGAGCTCTTGCCATTGGTGTTTTAGCCATTGAGGTATAGTAGAGATTGGTATGCTAATGGTCATATAAGACGCACAGCTGTCTTTTTGTAGGAGCCTGCCATGTCTTCCTGTCTGTACTTTTGTATAATATTCTCAGAAATGCAGAGTGGAAGAATGTGGCAAAAAAACCCCTTATCCTGCACTGCCCTCTAGTGTTAAGTACCTTGTAAATGATGTAGCCGTCAGACTTGGAACACTCGCTCATCCTCAATGCATATCTGAAAAGCCTTCAGTGAATTTACTTGATTAGACATTATGAACAGCTTTCAAAGTTAATATTACTTTAAAAGAAATAACATTCTTATTTCATATGTTCTGAACGTTCAGAACTTTTCAGGCTTTTTCAGTTCCTGTGCAAGGCTGCAATAATGACCCACAGAATTGAGCTCAGTGGCATCAGTTAAACCACCAAATATCCTCCAGACGCTAGCCTTATTCACGTATTCTTCAGATACAGAACTCACACATGGAACCTGCACATTTTCTGCCAGTCCCATTGCTGACATCTTGCATCGTATTGGCCATACTTTCTGGCAGATGTGCAGGGTTTCTGTGTCCAGATGTGCCTGCCAATGTGTGGCTGCTGTGAGCATGTGGCAGTGATACTGGGATGGAGAAGGACTGGAGTTAGCAGTGAATTTTTATTGCTTCCTTTTCCATGCATAGGTTTCCTGCATGAAGAACTCGTGAAAAAGGCTGCAAAATATATCTTATTAAGAGTAACAAAGAGACCAGTGTGCAGGGGGTACCAATTCCAAATTAGCAATTAGCATATCCAAATACAAAATAATTTCATCTCCAGTTAGTTTTCTTGAGTGAAAGGGTGGGAGTGCAAAGGCTGAGGTGGAAGCAAAAACTAGCTTTGTCAGACAATAGATTATTTTGAGCTGAGCAGAAAGAGTTAAAAACTGGAGTGTAAGGGGAAGAAAGGCATTTCAATCACAGAAAGGGAAATAAGGAACTGAGGGAAAGGGTTATATTGTCTTTAGCAGGATGATGTTAATCCTTTAGTGGGATTGGCAGAACTCTTATTTGGACTTTTACATCAATTAAAGTATACAGGTATGAAAGGGTATACAGGGATGAAAGTAGCCAGGAAAGAAAGAACCCAGATATCTTGGATCCTAAGAAGCCCTTCAACAGGAGAATGGAGTAGTTGTAAAAGCATACAAACTTGTAATAGAAGAGTAAAGCAATTGTGTTGGATTTCTTGCAGAATTCTCCTGATAAAGCATTCCCAATTTATCTGTGCTTTCTTTTTTTGTGTTATGCTTATTTGGAAGATTCCTTTGCACTGAACCATGGTTAAGACTAGCTTCGTCTGTGTCTATTACGATGCCATCTGACTGTTTTTTTTTCCCCTGACTCTTTCGCAGCTTTTTGCTATGATCTTTGCCATGTGCCTCTTTCGGGGGATCCAGTAGGAAGTGTTCCAAGAGCAGCAAGAATTTTTCAGTCACAGGCTTTGAAGGAAGGAAAGAGAGAAGATGAACTTTATTTTTTGGTGAACAAAGTGGGATGGGGGGGAAAGGATTGTAATATATGAATGACCAAAAGGATTGTACTTCAGGGGCTGGAACTTTGAGGTGCTGTGCACTACACTGCCTCTCCCAGGGGAGTCATTCATCCGAAGCCGCACGCACTGGGTTGCACTAAGACCCTGCAAGACAGGGAGGAAGTGAACTCTGATGGTCTGCATGAAGCAGGATGTTGCATGGAATCCACATCTCTTAACACAATAGTGGCCCATGGAGAGGAAGACCACCCATTACGCACAGGAGCTGTATTCAGAGGCTTAAGGAACTGCTCAGCCAAAGCATTGTGACTTGTGCAGGTCAGGGCAGTGTTGCGCAACTCAGAGGAAAATGTTGCTGTGACACTGACTTGCCAGTCCATAGCCAAGATTGACAGTAGCCCATCACTTAATGCTAGCATCCTTGAATCACTAGGAGTGGATAATCGCTTCACGGGGAATCCTAGAGAAGGGGTCGCACCTACTGTGTTGGAAGATTTGGGAAGAGGCATTGTTCTTAAGGCCAGGAGAGGGATATGATGAAATCAGTAGTTTTGTGCTTCTCTGTTCTTTGTCACAATGAATTTTCTGTTCAGTATTCTATGAGAAGAGGAAAGACTGAGGCAGTCCAGCTGCTGATGTCCTCACCTTGAAAGACTAATAAAGTGTTCTCATCTAGAGGTGTTGGTGCTGTCTCCCCTAAGGAGAATTGTTTTGTTTGAAAGCTTTTGAATGTTTTGTCACCCTCATGTTTTGTGCAAAATGTGTTGCCTCATTTGGCCTTTTGTAGAGGTGATTCGCTTGTGGTCTTCATGTTTCAGTGTGCCTTTCAACTGTGTGGAGAAATCCCCCGAATGAAAGCCATGAGGAACTTCTACAGTTGTCCACTGCACAATTTCATTTGTGCATCTTGTGGCCCCACTTGTGTTCTCAGCAATTCTTCTTTAACTTTTTTTCTTGAATTGCAAATATACTCTAACCATAATTTTTTAACCTGTTCTTTTTAAAATGATGGCAAGTTATGGTATCAGTTGTATGTTACTCATTCAGGTTCTCAAAGCCAGTTAGAGGAATCGGGCACAATAACAGGTTCAAGGGGCAGAAGTGACGTTTGAATGGCCAGGATGTCCTTGTTGTCAGAAATTCACATGGGTCCATAAGCCAGAGTGAAAGTAATACTGAACCAGAGACAAGCAGAGATGCAAACCGGCAGAGCAAAATGACACATCCTGCACCCAGAAGTGGTAGGTTCCCACCAGAAGACAAGAACAGCCTGTGGTTATATCACGTGCCATAAGGCTTCAGAAAAATAATGGATGATAACTACAGGGCGCACACAAATGAGTATTAATCCCAGGAACACTGCTCTGGAAAAAAGCATTTATTTCCACCTGATATGAGGCAAGAAATTAGAAAATACGAAAAAGAAGAAAAAAACCCATAAACTTTAAATGCTGAGCTAAGTCTTGACTATTGTACTCCTTGACAATTTCTCCCACGTAAGGAAAGCATGATTTTATTTTATTTTTGGTGCAATAGTCAAGTTCTGTGGTTGTACAGCAAGAAATTTGTATGCCACTGTTGGAAAAGCAGATACTGCATGTCCCTGTTGAAATTGTCTGTATTTTGTTCTGAATCAACTATAACCAAGAGACTCTTTTCACATTACTTGAAACTGTAGCTGTGGCATATAGGTGTTTGAAAATACACTGTATGGATTAAGAAGCTGGGATTTTCGGTGGATCCAAAGTCTATACCCAGGTTTCTTTAAACAGAACCAGTAGACTAGTCTGGGAAGAGGGCTGGGTTTTAAAAATTTTGAAATGAATGAACATTTTAAAATGAATGAACTAACTTGCCACAGCATTTTGTGGAAGGAGCTCAGCCAGAGCCTTATTGGAGCAAAATCTTACATTGTAAGCAAAGGAACATAAGAAGCATTTCTATCTGGCACCAGACTGCTGGTTTATTTAGCACAGTATTGTCTGCCTCTAAGTGGCAGCCATTCAAGATCCTTGAGAGCAGAGAGAGGCCCCTGGTGCAACCAAGATGTTTTGGAGTGCAATTCCCATACATCCCAGTTGCCATGGCTAATGTACAGGAGTTATGGGACTTCTAGCCTAAAATATCAAGAACATGTGTCCTGCTAGTCTGAAATATCTGAATCTACACTGCAAATGAGTAGAGGAATGCAACAGCTTCCGTTTGGGTTCCTAGCATTATCTTGCTCTTTCAGTATCTCAGGACCTAATTCAGTGGATTTTTTTATTTTATTTTTTGCTTATTTGTTCTTTGTTCCCTCCAGTTACTCTTCAGTGCTCACTCTTTTCGTGTACCTACCTGCCTTCTGCTTTAGCTTCTTTAGTAATTCCTAATCCCAAAGACAAACCACCATCACTCTGGTGGGAAAGAATAAGTAAAAAGTCTCTCCACATTGTGGAAGTGCTTGCTGCAACTTTCTCTTCCTGTTCTTAACTAGCCAGTGCTGCAGAGGTCCCTGACAAAAGTGAGTGGAGCTGAAATAGACATCTGTTGACAATTGCAAAACCCCATTTACAGTGGGAAGGAATTGTTTGGAAGGGATAGGATTGTATTCCATAATATTGTCTTGGATTGTGATACTTTCAGACAGGCAACCCTGTTTTGCCTAAATGTGCAACTACAAATGCCCCATTAGTACTGCTATGCTGTAAAGCGAGCTATTCTGCATCTAGTTCATTTTGGAATTCTTAAGGAATGCAAACGTAGCCTCTTTTCTCCTGCTGGCTTTACTTGCTTTGTGTCTGTATCATATAACAAAACTCTCATTCCGCAAACAAAAGCATTCTTGGAGGAAGTTCTGAGCAATGCTGACTTCCCAAATTTAGGAGTGAAATCCTGAATACACTTGCTTTGGAGTGTTAAATTCCCTTTAATAGACCATCCAAGTAGTGGATAAACTATGTCAACCAGGGTATTCATTTGCAGTGCTATAAAATCCATAGCCACAGTGGCTGCATCTTCAGTCTCTAAAAATTGTATAGGGAAGGCACGCACTCTAGCATGATATTCTCCTGCTTAAGCCCCACTGAAACTTATGTGAGCCATTGAGTTCTTGCACAGCTTCCTTGCTTTTAAATGGAGAGCTTCACACTGGATTTGTGTCCATGCTCTATTCGTGTTGGTGAGCCCAGATCCACCCAATCCCTTCCACTCTGTTGTCGTCACTGTTTGCAAGTGCCTGAAATGCAGGTCACGTGGTGTAAACATTGAAATCTATTTTAAACGTCCCTTTTCTTAGAAAGCTAGAGCTAATTTAACTTGTATTCTTTATTGTAATGCTTTTTATATCGAAAGGGGGGATTTTGTAACATAAAGCAGAACACTACTCTGAAGCATTTTGCACAGTTTCTGTGTGCATTTCTTAAAAAAAATAAAAAGACATAAATAAAGACACTGTGACAACAAAGTGACTTTACTTTTCACAGTTCGTGGGGTTGTGTGTGTTTCTTTTAAAAATCTGACATGTAATAACCTTTTCTTTACAGGAATAACAGCATCTTTACATCACATCTGCATGCTTTACTTAAAATCAAATATAGGATGCAGCTAGAAGTGGATACAGAATACTGCCAGTTTATGAATTTGCTATTATTTTAATTCTTTCAATTTGCAAATTGTACAGTCATTGATTTGTGTATTAAATATTCATTGCTTGTGCTTGAATTCATAAATAGAAACACCTTACTTACCCCAAAATGATTGTATTTGAACATACCTTGTAAAATCAATCCAAAATTACAAGGATTTTCCATAATATCTTTATTGGTTGTAGGAAGGAGCTGTTTGCAGTACTGGCCTTAGAGTTCTAATACCTTAAATAAGCATGTAGGTTCTCACATAAGTTTTAAATTATTGTCTTCTTGGAATGCTAATAGGCTTCTGTTCCAGTGGACTAAACGATGATCGATTAACTGCTGGAAAGACCTTCAAATACTGCGGCTTAACACAATTTGCATTTTCTTCAAGTCATGTAAAATGTGTGCCTGGGATTATGTGAATAATATCTTTAGCTAGGCCCCTTTTATGTGAAAGCAAGGGTGGCAGGTACAAAATTCTGGATGAGTGCTTTGCAAGAGGTCATTCCAAGCCATACTTGGGCTTTCACTTAATGCCGCTTGGAGCTGTACACAGTCACAGAAGAGTTGTGCAGACATTGTGCATGAGAGGAAAGGAGTTAAATGTCTTTTAGCAGCGGAAATAAGGCTCTTATAGCTCCTCTCTTTGAGCACCAGGCCTGGAGCTGTTATCAGGGGTGAGTTTGCAAAGCTACAAAATGTCCTATATCCTTATGAAGTGAAAATCAAGTGACTTGAGCATTTTCTAATGGTGTTACTGGTTTTCCAGGTATTTTGGACTTCAGCTCCAACAGCTTCAGGCAACAAACCCAACGGCCAGGAATGCTAGGCAGTGTAGTCCAAAATACTTAGAAGGCAGCAGTTTTGGGATGTCTGCTTTAAGAATATAAAACATTTTTTATGTTTCTAAAGTTATATTGTTCATAACATATTTTGCAGATAAAGTTATTGTATTTTAAAAGTACAGGTAAACTCAGTAAGGATTTAAGTAATGCTATTAAATAATTATTAAGTAAGTAATGCTATGGCCTTTAAATGTTATCTAGATGGCCGTAGAAGTAGTCTAAGTCCAAGCTCCAATCTCAGAAACTTATTCCAAGGTCAGAATTGGGGTTCCAAACTCAGAGTGCCTTCCCTCTGCCCATGCAACAGGTTTGGTTTTTGCCGTGCAGGCTGCAACTCCAAAGTTGCAAGAGGGATCTCAGAGACATGGAGGGAGTGCAGGGACTGGGCACAGATGGTAGGAAGGAGAAAGATGCCAGTAACGTACACAGTATGTTGCTGGTGCACCAGCCTCCTTGCATTCCACTCAGCAAAAAGTGGCCGTCTAAGCTTTCTGCTAGGAAGAAGTCACCCTTCAGCCCTCCACTGAATATCCATAATCAACTTACAAGATTATGGACAGCCTCATATGATTTCCTATGGATTTCCTATAAATTTGTAATTATTGTCTGAATAAATGTTTGTATAAAATGTTACATGAGCAAAATAAATTACACATATTTTAGGGCTCTATATTATGTTAACTGGAAGAAAAGGAATTCTTACACAATGAAGCATTTTTCCCTCACAGGAAAAGATGCCTTTCTATAACTGTTCTGATTACATAGTTTTTAGAAATCAATTTATAGGGAGTAGGTCAGGTAGTAATATAGAATTACTGACCCTTCAATAATAAAAGAAAACATTTCATAATCCAAAGCTTCTCAGTTTGTCATAGTTCACCAAAGACAAATGGCGCTGCGGGGGAGGAGGGGAGGGGATGGGATGGGAACAAACTGGACTTCCTATCTTTTCTATCTTTTCCATTGTTTCTGGACTTCCTATCTTTGCTGCAGTTCCAAAGCGACTTTGAAGGTCCTCTGAGCATTATCTTTTGGTAGCATGGTTGGTTTTGCCTGAGGGCCTGCAAAAGTGTATTCAAAATGGAAATCAGCACTTAGGCTGGGAGTTCTCCACCTCTTCTACATGGAGAGACTGTACTTCTGGCCACGCAACATGGAAGCCTCTGTTCCGTAGGACATACATCTCAGTGTTAATAGTGCGCATTCTTGTGAATGGTCTACAGATGAGCCTTCCCGTATGCAAATTCCAGATTCTAAAAGTGCAATTCCAGATGTGACTGCAGCCAGCAGGCAATAAAAATAAGTCACATTTTGTTAGCAAAAAGGGAGGGAAAAAGCTTTAGCAGGCATCTTTTGTTAAGAGATGATCTTTACACCTAAAATCTACCATTCAAGTCATGCATTTGATTTCCACATAGCTGTAAAGGTGATAGTTCTTCATCATGGCCTCTGTGCATCACACATTATGGGTGCTGCACCTGCGCAGTACCTGTTGCCGGGAAGCTTTTAACGGTTTTGCGGGGGAACTCTGCGCCCTCCACCTGCCCCCCCCCAGTATAAATGGGTGGGAGATTTATGCACACACCAGTCCGAGGTCATGCCCATGTTTGATAAAAGCCAAAAGGAGGCATGAGGCAGGCAGTCTTTAGGTGGGAGGAGTGGAGGAGCCACTGAAGGCAACAGCCAGGACATGCTACCAAAGGTTTGTGAAGTGTCCATGTGACTTCCCAAATATGCTGTTGCTGGGGATGTAGTGAGGGTGAGGGCCTGAGGTCTTTAAAGGATGCTGCTGTGGCTTCCATGCTGCATGCCAGTGCTCCACCAACCCAATGCGCTCACTCCAGATGTGTCACATCCACTCCTACCTTGCTAGCTCATCCTAACACGTCCATGCTGGGCAAGTGGCTTGAAATCCACATCAAATCTCCAGTTCTGCTGGTTCTCATTCCAGGCTTCCTCTGCCCTCCATTTGTAGGTCTACACAAGGATAGCATGTCCTGCCGATTTCACGTGACAGTAACTATACAGAATCCCAAGAGGGTGGAGGAGGTGCAAGAGGAGAAGCGATTTCAAGTTCCAGTCTGTTTGCCTCTTGAGGTTTGGGAAAGACTCACTGGCACACCTGTATCATCAGCCTTTTACATGAGGTGCATCCCCAGAGCAGCCTTCCCCAACTTGGTGCTCTCCAACTGTTTTAGACTGTAGCTCTCATCAGCCTCAAGAAGCAGTAGCCAAGCACAATGAAAATTGTAGACTGGAAACATCTGGAGGGCACAGGGCTGGAGGAGTCTGTCCTAGAGTGTATTCACGTTTTTAACACCATCATCTATACTGGGTTTGAGCCAGGAAGCAAAAGAAACTCTTAAACAGCTTTGGTCAAGTAGAGGATCGGTTGCAAAATAAATGCCACAAGCCAGCCTCCAGTGCTTGGGTTGCCACTCACGATGGAAAAACGCTGTGGAGGGTACGACCCGTCTTCCTGATGTGGGAAGTTGGGAAGTGCAGGAATTGTGCAGCCCTGTGAGACCCTCTTGCACATGCAGAGGGACAATCCACATGAGCACACCTTTCTGGCATGGATTCAGAGTCAGAATTGAATGCACCAGTTCAATATGCCCAGTGGGGTGCGGTCTTGCTTCCATGCCTGCCCCCGCTCATAAGGATGGGCATAGGAATCAGGTGTAAGCCCCACTCTAACACTGCTGCACACAAAGGCACACAAGAATTTTTGCATGTCACTAGAAGGCTGGAAGCATCACCAAAACCAGGGGTGCCAAAATATGTATTGAACCAACCTAAGGAGTATGTCAGGTCAGAGTCCCATTTCCTGCAGTTTTCTTGGTTACTTATTTATAAAGGTTCTCCCACACAGAAGCATAACTATTACAGTTTAATTGGTTTGGCCCCAGCAACAATTTGTGAAACTCCATAAGTACATTACCCTGTGTTGAAATTTTTGTTTAAAAAAAGGGAGAAGAGAAGAGAAGAGAAGAGAAGAGAAGAGAAGAGAAGAGAAGAGAAGAGAGATTGTGTGAACTCATGGTTTCTTTATTAATTCCTCCTATCTTCCATATTATATCACGAATCATCTAAAAGCATATCTGCAATGTCTGGTACTAAAAAAGAACAATAGAATAAAGAAACAGGTACAGCACTCATGTGGGGCAGTGGGTTGGGGCAGAAACAGAGAGGTACATACATCAGTAACAGCTGATTCAAATATTGTCATCAGGCCTACTTCAAAGATCAGGTAGTATTAGTTCTTAAATGGGATGCTTAATGGTCATGAGAATGATCAAGAGTTCACATGTCGGGCAGTGAAATCAACATATAAGGTTGGTGAGGCAAGAGGTAAAGCTCCAAATGCTTTGGACTTCAACTCCCAGAAGCTCTGCCAACTTGGCCAGTCATCAGCAAAGCAGGGACTTGATGTCCAGGAGACGGATTTTCTGCTCACCCTTGATCCAAGGGATTATTTATGGATGTAAAATTCTAACCTCCTGGATGCTTAGGTTTTACCACTGGCTTATGCTCCATGTATGAGGAAAGACCCTGTTTCGTCCCAGGCAACACGGGTGAGAACATGTGAACTGTGCAGAGATCCTGAGGGGGTGTGGGGTGAGAAACTATCAACTGGTCCACCCTCCACAGGACTTCTTTGGCCCTCTGCATCCTTTGAATTCAGTTCCATTCACGGCCCCATTTCCCAGGCTGTAGATTCTGCTGTCCCACCACAGCCTTCCCCAACCTGGCACGCTCCAGCCATGTCAGCTGCAACCCTCATCATCCCCAGACAACATAGTCAGTTGCCTGTTGGCTGGGCTTGGTGGGAGTGGTAGTCCAACACACCTCAGAGAACACCAGGCTGGGAAAGACCTTGCTACAGTCTGGTTTGACAGAGAAAAAATAGCTACCAAAATGGTTTTCTCCCAGCCTCCCTGAAACTGATGAGCCCTTGTTATCTCTGTCCTTTGTTTGCTCACCCTCCCCAAACAAGCATCACGGAAGTGGCCTGGCTTTGATCTCTCCTCTTCCATGCCTGATGGGGCAGTGATACCAGCACTGGATTTATACATCGATACATGCCATAAGGAAGTCTGCTTTGAAAGATAAAACACAAACATGAACAAAAGGAATGCTGAAGTTGGAACAAGCCCTTCTGCCCCCACCCCCCGCCTTCAGCGGTTTCGGAGATTAGACTTTCTTGGGTCTGCGTCCAACTTGGTAATAATAATAAATGCTGATAAGTACAAAGAGGGCCCGGCTGGCGAGGAGAAGCATGGCTCCCATGGATGCCCGGCCACTCTCGACCAGGGTGATGGTCGTGACTGGAAGAGAAAGAGGGCAAGTTAAGTGCAAAATACTCAAGGGATCTTTTACAACTTTGGCAAAGTCAGAAGGCATTTGCTTCATGCCGTATCTGAAAGAATTTATATTGTGCAGGATGTGAATCTTTCCTAACATAGCTGCATTTAGGCAGGGTGGATTTCAGCTCCTGTGAATGATGTGAGTTGTAGTCTGACCTACTGAGTGATTCCCCCCTCCCTCCACCCTGGGAAGGGCTGGCCCATCCACAGCCCTCTTCCATGAGCTGCATCTAGAAAGCCATTGCTGAACAGTCCCAATCCACCTGGGAAGCAGTGCTGCTTGGAGGGGTTGCTGGAGCAGGTAACACCAGGAGGATGGACAGAGACACCTTGCCAGGCCACACGAGCAAGAGGCTGCCCAGAAAAGACCCACTGCTTCAGTGCAATCAGCCAAGCTCCCACAGCCCTTGGCTTTGTCCTGGTGGGCAATGTGTGGCCCTTCAGATGTTTTGGCTTGAAACTTCAATCAGCTCTAGCCAGCATAGCCAGAGGAGCAGAACCATGGGGTGTTTGGGCCTAACCATCTGCAGGGCTATAGCTGTTTTCCTGAGCTGTACCCTGCAGATCCAGAGGTTCTCAGTGATGGCTTTGGCACCTCATCTGAGGATGGTCTCTGGAAGCAGTAAATAATGCTTTTGGCTCTATTGGTGCACCAGTTTCCCTTATGAGAACCCTCTGACATAGACACTAAAGCAGGAACTGCCTTCTGCTATTCCCAGAAGCCACACTTCCTCCAGAGTTAAGATTTCCTGTCCAAGAACAGTGGATGTGGCTTTTGTTTCCATACCCCAGGAGCACATCATAGGCATTATTTCCTGTAAGGAGAACACATGAAGGACCTCTGCTTGGCCACAGCTGCCAAACTGAATTTTTGGTTGCTCCCAACTAATGAAACATAGAAACAGAGCGAGTCAGAAGGGGTCTCCTGGGCTATCTAGTCTGACCTCCGGCACCAGCCAGCTCCGCTCACGACATGCCCACCATGTGGATGTCCAGCCTATCCTTGAACACCCGCACCGATGGGGCCTCAGCGACCTCTCTGGGAAGCCCATTCCACACCCTCGGGGTCCTGACTGTCACGAGTGCTTCCTGGCATCCAAATGGAACCTTGGCTCCCTGAGCTTTGCTCCATTGGAGCGCGTCCTGCCTTCCTCTGCAGGGGAGAACAGGTCTCTACCCATCTCCGTGTGACATCCCCACACATACCAACAGATCCCCTCTGAGTCTCCTCTTCTCCAGGCTGAAGAGACCCAGTTCCCTCAGTCTCACCTCATACCCTGCAAACCGGCCACCAATCTTGTGGCCCTACGCTGCACTGACTCTAACCTGGCTATATCCTTTCTGTAATGAGGGGCCCAAAACAGCACAATACTCCAGTTGCGGGTGCACCAGAGTCATATAGAGTGGTAGTAATACCTCTCTTGATCTAGAAGCCACACTTCTGGCTATGCAACCATGGGTGGCGTTCACCCTCTTGACCACCACATCACACTGCTGACTCACGTTTAGCCTGCATTCAACCAGTACCCCGAGGTCCCTTTCACAAGTGCTGCTCTCCAGCCACTTGTCACCTCACCTGTACTTATGACAGCTATTCCTATGCCCCAAGTGCAAGACCTTGCACTTATCCACATTGAACGCCATCCTCTTGTCTCCTGCCCACTTCCATAGTCTGTCCAGATCCTTTTGGATCTGGAGTACCTGCTCCTCAGTTGTGGCCACTGCGCCAGTTTTAGTGTCGCCTGCGAATTTGATCAGCAGACTGTTCACCCCTTCTTCCATGTTGTTAATGAAAAGATTAAACAGGATCGGCCCCAGGACAGAGCCCTGGGGGACCCCGCTTGTCACTGGCCGCCATCCCAATGATTCCCCGCTAATGGTTACCTTCTGCTTTCGGTCAGTTAACCATGCCCTAATCCACTGGACAGTGCTTCGGTGTATCCCAAAACTCCTCAGTTTCTCCACCAGGATATCATGGGGCACTTTGTCAAAGGCCTTGCTGAAATCCAGGTATACCACATCCACTGCATCCCCTCCATCTAGCCATCGCAAAACCTTGTCATAGAATTCCACAAGGTTTGTCTGGCAGGACCTGTTTTTGTGGAAGCCGTGTTGTGTGGCTGTCAGCCTCCCTTCCCTATCTAGCATCACTAGATCTCTCTCTATTATGAGCCTTTCCATTGTTTTTCCTACAATGGACGTAAGGCTAACCGGTCTATAATTCCCCATGTCCTTTCTACTACCCTTTTTGAAAATTGGGACCACTGATGCCACCCTCCAGTCCTCTGGAACTTCACCCGTTCTCCACAAGGTCTCAAAAATGGAGGCCAGCAGGCGTGAGAGAACCCCTGCCAACTCTCTAAGTACTCTTGGGTGTAACCCGTCAGGGCCTGGTGCCTTTGTAATGTCCAATGCCCTGCGGAGCCCCTCGACTTCAAGGGGAGTGACTCTAATCTGTGCCCCTAAATCCCCAGTCTCATCTAATCTCCCATGTGGATATCCCCCATCCTGCTTTGGGGAAAACACAGAGGCAAAATAGTCATTTAGCATCTGTGCCTGCCTGTTACCTCATGAAGACGGAAAGAGAACTTGGCATGTCTAAGTAAGGCCTGGGGCACTTCTCATCTGGGAAATGGAACTGGTATTATAGAGGCTATTTAATGTACAGAGTAGAGCAAAAGTTCCCAATATCAGAAGTGACATGCCAGGTACATCTCTTTCTTTAAAGCAAGAGTGGGTAGCCCATGGCCTATCATTCCTCACCATGGGCCATGCTGCCCAGGGATGAGGGAAGCTGTAGGCTTCAACATCCAGAGGGCCACAAATTGCAAGCCAAGCTCAATCTCTCCAGCACTGTGTTGTGGTCCCCTTCCCAGTGTGTGATGCTCTCACCAGGCAAACCTCAGATCCAGTGTGCAGAAGTCCCATTTTCTATCAGCTAGGACACCTTTGTCTCTTTGTTTCCCCATCCCAAAAGGGACCGTCTTACCCAAGAACTGTATCCCAAAGTAACAAGCTTCTGTCAGCAGGGTCCAACGGATGATGACCTTCTCAGCTGTGTACAGAGCATTCCACATGATGAGGGAAATACCTGCGGGAGATGGGAATGGAAGGAGAGTTGGTGTCGGCAGGAAGCCGGCCCTCAGGCTGCCCCTACATCCTTCAAGCTTTCAACAAGGCCAGATCAAAAATGGCAACTCCATGCACATTCAGCTGCCACAGCAGAACCAGGTCTCACAGGAATTCACCAGCGACACGTCTTTCCTTAGCCATCACCTGCCACCCCTTCCCCTTCCAGGATTCTGTTTCCTCCAGGCTAAGCTGTAATCCTCTCTGCAGCTTGTGTGGCGGGTGGGTGTTAGGATGACTTTTAACAGCATCCTTGTAATCATGCAAAGGATTTGCAGGTGTCTTAGTCTCGAATGGACATTCAGGCCTCCTGGTTTTGCAAAAGACCTGCTTTGAGGGAGAGGGCAAAAGTGCTAGAAAGTGGTTTGCCTGTGTTTTTAAGCTCCTCCTGGGGGCGTGGCTACAGGGACTGCCATGATGAGCAATAAAATGCGCCATAACACCACTGACCACAAGACACCATGACTGCTGCCGGATCCATGCCCTTGGCCCTCCGTCACCTTGTCAAGCCAGCAGTTGTGCATCAGGCAGTGCCAGATCAGGGGCCTGGGTACACTTTTGGTGCATGACAGGTGAGAGAAGCAGCGATGCTGCCCCCTTGAGCAAGATCCCGCTGGCGCTGTTGCCATGCAAAGGCCTTTCCTTTCCAGCAGGCATTTTGTCATTAAGTTTGGGCCTTTGCTCTCTCAGCTTGGCTTCCAGGTCTTTATTTCATTTCCTTTTAATATCGTCCTTTTAAAAATATTTTCATCAAAGAATTGAAATTAAAATTGAAAAGTCTGCTTAGAATCTGTGGATTCATGAGTATTTTCCATGCATTCACACATGCTCCTCTTCCATCTGGCACCCTAACACCCAAAGGTCCTGCCTCCCAGCAATCCCTGCACCATTCAAACATGAGAGCCAGTGTGGGGTTCTGGTGGCAGTGCTGATCTGGGACTCAGGAGATCCTAGTTCTGGTTCTTACTTGGTTCTAGTTCTCACACGGCCATAATGCTCACTGGCTGGCTTGCGGCCAGTCGCTCAGTCTCAGTCTAACTCGCCTGACACGATCACGCCAGGGCTCATGCAGGTTGCCCTGGGTTCTTTGCAAGGGGGGTATAAATACGATAAGAACAACAACTTACTCCCAAAGGCAGGAAGAGAAAATCATGCCTACAAGCCCTACCCCCACAATTCCTGCCAGATACTCTCATCCTCCGCGATGTCACAGCCCCTTCTAGGGGTTTGCACGTCCCGGCAATTTGCACCTTGCCTTGACCACGGAACACAAACAAGAGGAAGAGCAAAGGAAGCAAAGAGCAGCCCCCAAAGGGCTGAGAGGAGAGAGGATGGTGCATCGCTCATTTATTTCCAGGAGCTACAGCTCTGTTCCAAAAACAAGAAGCAAAAGGCAAATCTGATGCTAACTCACAGTATCTCTTGGGGAAGAAACGGCAAAAGTTGTCGCTTCTTCCTGTCTCCTTTGCACTGTGTTTTACCTAAACACAGGCATCTTTACCTGCTTCATCTACTTACGAAGACTCAAGCATAGAGAAAGGGAAGAATAGGGAGAAGCAGGGGGTATACATAGTTTAAAATGAATGATTTCCAGCTGCTCTGGTGAAAACAGAGCCAAACAAATGCATTTGCTGCAGCCTGGCTTGCATTTTAATGGCATCCCAGAATAGGGGTTGAGTATGGGTTGCCACTGCATCATGGGCTGCCATTACATGCATACCCTGAACTATGATCTAACCATAGATTGTGCAGTATAATAACCTTGCCTTTACAAGCCAGCCACAAACAATCTATTCTCTTCCTGAGTTTAACAACCAGAGTTGAGCCAGAGTTCATGGCTTGCATGGTGCAACAACTCATGATTCAACAACAATCCATATTTAACCCATGCTTTGGGTTGTTCTTAGGCAGGGGAGGGCAAGCAGGCTGCAGGAAGTGCATCTCCTCGTTTTTAAGCAGATAGCTTGTCATTCTTTGAGAACCGTGGCAGTATCTCTACAGCGGAACTTCAAGCACCGGCCCACAAATGGCTGCAATTCCACTTGCTACCACCAGGTACTGCTGCAGGCTCACAGGACAAGCGGGAGTTTTCCAGATGCACTAAACTTCTCTGCAGCTATCAGACTCCAAGTTGTCATGATCCCTCACAATCAGGGGACAAATGCAATCACATCTTAAAGCTGTGGCCCACCTCACCTGGATTGGTTCACAATTCCTTCCATAACAAAACAATCGGAATGTAGCATGCAAAGCAGTGAGCAGCTGGTAAACAAAACTGCTTTGAGAACATTCTTGTCCCAAGAGAGAGAGAGCAGAAACATTACAGGTGGCAGGAAGGGTATTGCCTGGTTGAATGCCCTCTGTTAAGAAAGACTCTCTCCCTCTCTCTCTCTCTCACACACACACTCATATTCTCTCTCTCTCATTTTCTGACCCCCCTGCACACACAGTCTTTCACACACACACACACACACACACACACACACACCTGCACACACACCCCTAGATATCAGAGCTTGCGATATCAGAGCTTTCTTTTCAAATGAAACTGTTTGATTCAGAACTTGGTGAGCAAACCACCAATTCTATCAGGGTCAGTTGTCCCATCATTGCTTTCGACAGGTCAGCCCTGGTGATATGGCACTATCACCACCATCTTTCCCAAACTTCCAAAATGCCATTGAGGACCAACCTAGAACACTTGTGATGGTGCAAGACTATGTCAACCCGCCTCACCCTGGTAAAAGCATCCCATTGAAGTGGAATTCAGCTAGATCAAGATGGACTGCGACTCCCATTACTCTTCACCACTGACTATGCTGAGTAGGTGCATTGGGTGCTGCAGTCCAAAAACACCTGGAGAGCCACCTGCTCCTCACACCTGAACTAGATGATCTGCATGCACACAGAGCTATTCTCACGAGAGGAGACTGTGTCACCACTTTCCAACCAAGTTGCTACTCACTAAGTAAGGCTCCTCCATAGAGACGGATGGGCATCTTACTATTGATGGACTCTTCTTCAAAGATGGCATCGTACAGCTGATCAGGAAAGGCGAGGGCCTACAAGTAAGAAATCAGCTTCAGTAGAGAACTATTCTAGCGCTTGCCCTTGAGCCCATTCAGTCAGGAACACAGTCTCTAGCTGAAGGCAGATAAGAGCATGCACAGGCAAGACAAGCGTCGCTGCTTGCAAATGGAAGCAGGAGGGCTGGTTTGCCTCCCCTCAGAATCCACTCAAAGGCTAACTAGTTGTTAGTGAATTTCCAAGCCTAATTTAAAGTGCTAGCTTTAACCTTTAAAATTGGACATGGTTTGGGTCCAAGCAACCTTTCCTATAACGGTCTGCCCATGCTCTGAGGTCATCAACAGGGGCCTTTACCCTTCTCCAAGTATGGTTAGGCTGATGAATAAAGAAGAGTCCCCTCAGTGGTGACCCCTTCCTCTGCAATCAGATTTTACCAGATTCCTTCTGCAAAGGTCTTCAGAAAAGTTTTGAGGCCCCACCTATCCTTGCTGGCGTTTACATAACATCAGGGTTCCTTGTTTTATTTGTAACTTCTGTTTTTATTGATTTTATTGGTAAATGCAATGTTCTTATTGATTTTATTGCATCTACTTTTAGCGTTTTAGATCCTTGAAGACAGTCTAAAAATAATTTTAAGTAAAACAAAGTGAGTGGAAACAGCTGCTGCATTCAGCAGTGAAAAAGAGAGGAGAAAGGAAAAGGGAATTTGAGGACATGCTACTAAGAAAGGCTGTGGAGGAACACATGCTCCAACCTCAGGACTCAAGTCCTGTGTGGGAATGTTTTGCTCACTTACCATTATGGCGACCCCAGAAAAAATGATGGCCGACACAAACTGCCAGACCCTGCAAGATAAAATGGAAAACAAGTAATGTTTCAATTGAATAATGAGAACTCTGAAGATGACATCTCCCCAAGCCAGCTTTGCATAAAAAGGGACTGCTTTGAATAGCTCCTGGAGCTACAAGGAAGGCCAGTAGAGCAAGCCCTGTTGACTGGGAAAGGCGGACCTTATAGACTATTTATATGTGGATGTGCTGCCCATCACTGAAGGACCACAGCAATTAGCAGTGAAGTTCTTCAGGAAATCAATTCATAAGTGAAAATTAGATTATAAATAAGACTACATTCAGCTTCACAGTGTCTCATGAGGTCCGCTAGTAAAGCATTACCATCTGGTGGATCTATTTTGAAAGGAAATGGCTATAATGACATCATCGTAAAAATCAAAGCCAAACCAAGGGTGCTGCTTTGTAATTTGCCACTTCCTAAGACGTCTAGGATGCTGCTTGTGAGGTGCAGCTCCCAGCCATTACCCACCCTTCTGCCCCCCTACATGGAACCTGAGGAATAGGGCATTTCCCCCATCCTTTGGTCTGCACAGCTTGGTTTGCATTGCCGGTGTTTCGTAAGTCACTCAGAGCCAGTTCCAACGACAGGAGTGCGAGTTGCGCTTAATTTATTTAGCCAATCGGCTTAATGAGATTTCTGGGCCTCCAACTTCTGCAATTGTGTCTTAGAACATTTTCCGTGGTGCAGACTCACAGAAAATCTCAGTTTTGAGAAATCCAAAGGAATCATAATTCGTTCGTCTGAAAGTTGTTTCAGTGCAACCAGGAGCAAAAAGCCTCCTCGTCTCTGGCTAATGAGCCTGGTGGATCTTCCCTACTATCGAAGATGGTACCATGGTTCTTGCTCATCCCTACCTTGCGAGTTAACCACAGTTCACCATTTCTCTATTTAACAGTTTAATTGCACTTCGCTATGTTTTCCCCAGCTCTACACTATCCATTTTTAAGTGTGGTGATGAGCGCGGTGCACAGTATTGCAAGTCTGGCTGCACCATATATTTGTATAAGCGTATATTTGTCTCAGCTATATATTTGATTCCTTTCCTACTTATAGTGAAGACGGAGTTTGCATTTTCACCGCAGACTCATACTGCTATGAATGTTTTTAATCTTGTACGTATTTTATGTGTTTTAATAGGTTTTAATTTGTTGGTGGTGGTGTGTGTGTTTAATATGTTGTAAGCTGCCTAGGAAGGTCTTTTGTCAGTTATAGGAGGTCTATAAATCTGTAAACAAATAAATAAATAAACAAGCAAACACTGAGTTGCCACTGGTCTTTTGATCAAACTCCAAGATCTTCTTCTGAGTCAGTCACTCCTAGCTCAGATCCTACCAGCATCTATTTGAAGTTGGGATTTTTTTCCACAACATGTACTGCTTTACACTTGCTCACTCTGAAGCACATTTGCCATTTTGATGCCCGTTCTCCCAGTCTGTGGAGATCCTTTCAGAGCTCCTTGCAATCTCTCTTTGCTTTAAGCACTCTAAAACAGGAAGCCCACTTATTAATTAAGGCAAGAGCTTGAGACATCCACAGGCATAAGACCCAGCGCAGCCCTGGCGAAGTGCAAGCATGCACCAAAAATGACGGGCCACCTGCATGCCCTGCATCAGGACATGCCACCCTCCTCGCACACTGTCCATGCAAGTTGTGGTTGCCAAGTGGAGCTCCTGGGTTGCCACAAGCTAGGGAGGCATGTGTCAGGTATGCTCCACGGAGCTGGAAAACCTCCCCAGTCCAGTCTTAAAGTCACCATTAACGACAATCAGTGCTTTTTTTGTCATAGAACACACCGGAACAGAGTTCCGGCACCATTTTTTGATGGATTTTCCAAGTTTAAAAGTAACTTTTGAAAATTTGATGTTTGGTCCATGTGGATTTGAATCGCCCTGTCGAGCGTAGCAGGTCAGCGGCAAAATCATTAAAACGGTGCATGTAGGCTGCTTGTGTGTCGAATCCGGTACATGCGCACTTTGTCCACGCTGGTTGTGATGGCGCTGCTCGGCTTGTGATTGGTCGTGTGGTCGCGTGCTGAGCTTACTGCGGGTGGCAACCGTTATGTTTCGTTACAGAACTGATGTGTGTATGTGTGTGTACAGTGACTGACTATGTGCAAAAGGTAAATAATTTCATGAGTTCCGGCACCTTTTTTCTCACAAAAAAGGCACTGATGACAATGCATGGGAAACCAAAAGCAGGCAGCTTAAGGGAAGAGGCCAGAACTTCAGCAGCAATGCTGCAGGCCGTCCCTCAACACCCTTGTCTGGTAGCCTGAGCAAACAGGCTTTGCCTAGAAACTTACCTGAGCCCCAAGGGTTCCCTTACAGCAAACTTAATTTCATTGCCCAGGACTTGACTGATCTGCGATTTAAAACAAGAGAGTGAGGGAAAGAGTTAGCCTGCAAAAACACTGTCTGACAGGAAGGGAGGGGTGGGGGGGCATAAATCCCTAGACTTGCAACACGTGGCTTCTCCAGATAAGAGAGGCTGGACATGCACATGGTGGGCATGTTGTGAGTGGAGCCGGCTGGTGCCGGAGGTCAGACTAGATGGCCTGGGAGACCCCTTCTGACTCGCTCTGTTTTTATGTTTCTATGTTTCTCCAGAGGGAACAATGGTGCAATATATTCCTTGCTCTTTATTTGCAGAGATAGGCTACAAAGATGCTAAACTGTACAGAGTGAAATTACAGAGTGAAACTGTAGCTACTTAATTATTTATTTTTTTATTTATTTTGCATCCTTCCCCATCCTGGCACTGTCCAGAAGCATTTGCACTACAACTTCCAGCAGTTGTTGACATCATGGCCATCACTGGGGATTCTGGAAATTGTAGTCCAACAGAGCTGGAAAGTGCCAGGTTGGGGAACCTTGGTTTATTGTATCCAAAAGCGCATGAAGAATGGGTCACCTGCAGCCATACAATGTGGCAACTACCATCCTCTTGCAAACTCCAAAAAAGGCAGAGCATGCTAACACTCAGCTGATCACATGGCTGCAGACAGAAAACTCTCCGTGGGCACGGTAGCGCACCAATTTTAAGTAGCCACTGCATCAAAAATTGAAATAACTGTTCTGTTGTAGGCAGACAAGTAGTCTGTAAATGGAATAAAATAAAATTTTAATTTAAACATCTACATACATCAGGAGATCAGCAAAGCCTGTTGAACAACAACTCCCATAATCCCTGGCCATTGGCCAGGCTAGATGTGGCTGATGGGGGGTGGAATGATATTGGAGACCTGATTTCCTACCACTGGTCTACAGAAGTGCATGTTAGACATCAACCCAAAGTCTAAACCCACAGCTGACACAAAGGAAGCCTCCGCATTCCTACACCTGTTCCTTTTTACTCTCCTCACCAATATTCCCCGCTGTGGAGCCCTCCGGGTGTGCTTGACTGCAAGTCACCCTGTGCCAGCCAGCTGGGGCAGACAGGGTATCTAGCCCCAAAATTCTGCAGGGCACCGGGCTGCAGGAGCACAGGATTCCTTCCAGCCCCACTCAGAGATTCCAGGGATAGAAACCCAGACCGTGTGCATTCAAAGCATGTGCTCTGCCACCGACTTGTGGCTCTCCCACAGGAGTAATGGCTCTTCCTACACTACCCCTTGGCTTTGTGCTGCAGCTGCCTGCGTCAGAGATGGAGCCAGGGCAGACAAAGTGAGCCTGGAGACCAGGCAGCTGCGGATGAATCAAGAAAGACAGGCAAGCCACAGAAGGCTGCAGGACCTCCTGTCCACAGCCAGATTCTCTTGCATCCTTGACAAAACCATCAAGGAAGTGCCGATGACCAGGATTTTGGAAGCAACAGGAGGGAGGCGGTGAATGAAAGTGCCAGGGAATGTAGAATATTAGGGTGAGTTATGGATTACGCCCAGCAAGGCATCCACAAGGTGGCTTAAGGTGCATTCAAAAGAATGCAGCAGGGGTTGTCTCTGGAAGGTGTCTCTCTCCATCCCATTCAGTCCTTGCTATGGGTAAAAGAAGGGAGCAGATGTTTTTCTTCATTGAAAAAAGAGAGTTTAAAAAAGAGCAATGAGTTTTAAAGGCAAAATATTCTGCAGCCTGCCGCAGAAATGCAGGTGATCAGGTTACTAAAGAACCCAACAACAGCTCTCTGCCCTGCTTCTTTTTTTGTCTCTCTAGGTAGATCAACAAAGAAAGTACAAGTCACAGGAAAGAAAGAGGCCCTTACTGAGGAAGTGAGAACAAAGGGAATTTAAAACAGCCTTGGTTGTTTCCGGCCCATCTAACAGCTTACCCTAGCCAGCTGGGTACAGAATCACAATTTGCACGTGCCATTCTTTGTTATTTCCTGCATTTAGCAAGGGATACAAAAAAGCCTCCAAGCTGGCCAGAGGTGCTTGAGGCAGAGAGAGAGAGAGAGAATGCTTAGGGTTGCTTCCGCTGGCGCATTGCTGGCGGCTGCAGGAAGAGACCCTTCGGGCTGTTGCAGGCACAGATTTGTGGTCTGTGCTGGACTTGGAACAGGAAGAAGAGTCAGAGCAAGGCAGTCAAGCCACCTTGATGCGGCTGAACTTTCTCAGTGTTGTGAGTATGAAGAAACTTGGCTTCCGTGCGTGACAGTGTAACACAGTGGTGCAGAGCCGGAGGTCCAGCAGTCAAGTAAAGCCCCTCTGCAGACCCACCAGCTGTGAGGGGCTGCCCAGATGGCCTCGCTCCTTCCTCTGGCCCCACTCATTTGCTCCACCCATCAAGTCTTCGGAGCTTTCCTGGCTTTTGTACAATGTCCTACTCACCCCCTTCTAAAAGCTGGAATTGTTTATTTTTAAGAATTTCATTTTTGTACCTCCTCCCAACTGAAGCTTTCTGGGCAGTTCACACAGTCCATAAAACAGAAGACACAATTTAAAACATCAGAAAATCAGAAAAAAATTAAAAACGTGATAAAAACAAACAATAACAAGGAATAACAAAAGAGTGACTCTGTGAAACACCTGGAGATCCCCCACAAGGACCTGGCTGGCCAAGTAAGTCTTTAAAATTTCAGAAAAGACCTGGTGCCAAAAACAGATTCTGCACCTGCCGACCACGGTGGGGAGATGATTCCGTAGATGGGGGGGGGGCATCACAGAGAAAGTCCTCCCTCTTGCTGCCACCTTCTGCACTTCCCTTGGAATTGGCACTGGGAGGAGGGCCCCGGGGTTGAGTGTGGTGTCTGTGCAGATCCTAGCTGGGAGAAGCACTCCAACAGGTACTGGGGTCCTAAGGCATGTGAGGCTATTAGGTTGAAACCAGCACCTTGAATTGGGACCAGAAACATACAGGCACCTAAGGCAAGTGGACCAGCTGCAGCTTCTGGACCATCTTCAAGGGTAGGTCCATGCAGAGTGCACTGCAGTCATCTAATTGAGAGGTTAGCAGAGTGTAGATTGCTGAAGCCAGGCCTTCCCTCATCAGATAGGGGCACGGTTGGGCCACCAGCCAAAGTTGGTAGAAGGTGCTCCAAGCCACTGATGCCACCTGAGCCTTGTGACAAAGCTGGATCATGGAGCACCCCCAAGCCATGAACCTGCTCCTTCAGGGGGAGGGCAACCCCATTTAGAACAGGTTGTTCACCCCCCCCCCCATTTAATCAAAGGAACCACCCACCAACAACATTCCAGTCTTGCCTGGATTGAGTTTCAGTTTGTCAGTCCATTGTCTTCACCTAACATTTATTTACTGAGAGTCAGAGCTTTAAATGAAAATATACGTATAGTTCTGGCCCCCACTCTTTTGCCTTTGGCCCTGACCACCAATCCAGGCAAGAATGGCCCACAAGCTTCTCTGGAATGGAACTTGGCCTTTGGCTGAAAGAGTCTCGACACCCTGGTGCTGCAGGGTGCTTTCCGGATATCTCAAATAAGCCCCAGCCTGCCAGCAAGGCAGCGCTGCCCTCATTCTCGGGCGCCCAGAGTTTTGTTGGATTCAGGGTGCAATCCCATGCTTTTTAAACAGAAAATGTCCTACAGTTCCCCAGTCAGACCCCAAACAGCACGGGACATTCAAAATCAGAATGAATGAAATGACCCCTTCCGTCCTATTTTTGCTTTCACATTTAGCTGTTTGAAAGCTAGAAGGCTACACGTTTTTTTAAAGTTCATGGTCTTTGTGGTTTGCATGATAGGGGAAACAGTACCAGAAAAACATATAATAACATTGAGTACTGTAACTAGTTTTGTTTGTCTGTTTCCAGAACTTTTTGCAGCTTCTATATCAATGCAGCAAAGATTCCCCCCCCCCCCAGGATTGATTCTTGTCTTTACCCAACAAATTATTACCAACACGTAGAGTCAAATTTTAGAAAAAGTCATTAGTTTTTCTATGATCACTACTGCTGAAATAATATGCATGAAAGGTACCAGTGCAAAAAGTCACCCAACATGTATTATTACAAATAAGTTGCTAAGCTACTGCTTGGATTCAATAACCAAAACGTCAATCCATTAATACAACAGGAAGAAGAAGGGGAAGAAGAAGAGAAAGAAGAAGGGGAAGAAGAGAAGAAGGGAAATCTGCTTGTAACTTGAGTTGGGTTTTGAGTTGGGAAAAAACTTATTTATCGTTTTCCTCTGACAACTGCTATTTTGAATTTTCCCATAAGAGTTGCTCTATATATTTTGGTAAATAGTTCAAGTGAAAAACAAGAAAAACCTCGCAACATTGGCCTTAGATGTTTCCCTCTGGGACCCTGTAAAGTACATGCATTCAATGATGAATCAACATCAGCAGCTTCTAAGCTGTTAGTATTTCCTTCTATTCTTCTTCTTTTTCCTTAAAGATTTTGTCCAAAGTCCTAACAGACCTAGGAGCAAACATATCATTTTTCAAAAAATAAAATAATAAAATTAAAGTGAGCACAGAAGTTAAGCTAGTGAAGAGAGGAAGGAAAGCTTTTTGTTCTGCTGTTTGTCCAACCCTTCACGTTGCTTCACTCCTTAAAGATACACCCAGAAACCTGAAAAGTGCATTTTGGTCTCCTCAAATATTCTTCAGTAGACTTCAGAGTCTCCATACTCCAGTTAAATCTTCATACTCCAGTTAATGAAGAAGAAATCTTCAAAGGAAAATCCAGAGTTTGTCACTGTGCCAGCTTCAAAGGAGCAGTAATGCAAAGAGCTATGTGCTGCATGCTGGCATTTTACACATGTTTGCAGTGCTGACTGTTCAGCCTGAACGCACAAGAGGTTGCAAAGGCCAGTAGTGAAACTGGGAAGCCTCCGCCCTGCTTTGCACTGAGCAGGGGTGCAACTTACAAGAAGCCTGGGAGATGCTTGCCAGGTGCACAAGGGTTCGTGGCAACCTTTGAACACCATTATTTGCCAGCAAAGTTGTTTTTATTTAAACAGGTCTTGGCACTGAGCTGTTCTATTTTATTCTTTCCTTGTTTTAATTGTGACACACGCACACAATGATAATTATTTTAAATGTTACCTTTTATTGTTGTTAGCCATTTTGAGTGCCATTCCTTGTAGATCAGTGGCGAACAGTTTAAGTAGACAAACAAGCCAAGTAGCACTGTTGAAGCCAGATAGAACTACGTTCGGCCACATCTAAATTTTCTTCTGACAAACATGCATGGAGAAGGTGTGCATGCAGCTTGGGAGATGCGGTGTCCTCCTGCCAACCCTTAAATCTTAAATCTGAGAGAGCTGGACATGAACGTGTGGTCCAGCAGGACTACTCTATTCACACAAGATATGCCAGACGATTACCAGAGTGCATAGCTCTGGCCTATGAAATCCTAACAGCACAAAATGTGCTGATCTTTAAGGTATTACAAGGCTGCAAATTTTGCTCTCTAGCAACCTAAGAAGTAATAAGGTGGAATTCTGCTTCTAGTGAAACTCACACCAGAACCACAACTTCTGGAGAGGGCAAAAGAATTCTGAATAGACCAGGACTCACTGATTTCTGGTAGGTTATGTGACTGTACCAAAATTACCAGATCCCTCTCATGGGAAAAGAAAGGAAGGAGAGGCATTTTTGCTTCTCTTTTTGCATTAGAGGTACTGAAACATGGAGTTGGACATCCAAAGCAACTTTCATGATTGCACTGAAGTCCCACCTGCTTGTACTCCAAAGTCTATGATCCAGCAAGGGGGAGGTGAACACAGCCTCCTTGCACTGGCACCAGGTGATGAGCAAACCCCTGCAAAGAGATGTTTCCCCATGCCTACACAGCCTCTCATGGCAATGCTACATATCACAGGATGGGTTTTGCACATCTGGCTTGGATCTGAGGAAACTTTTTAGCAAGTAGATCAAAAGGTACCACTCTGGTGGGCAGGTAACAGCGTTCCGTGCACTTCTGTGTTTAGTCCTGTCGGCCACATGGCCACGGAGACTGTCTGCGGACAAACGCTGGCTCACTCGGCTAGGAAATGGAGATGAGCACCGCCCCCTAGAGTCAGGCATGACTGGACATAACGTCAAGGGGAAACCTTTACCTTTTTACTCCTTTTTCATTCCTTCAGTGTCTATAAAAAGAAAATATGCTTCATTTGCTTTAATGGGTTACTCATTAAACTGGGGAAAATGTGAATCTGCTACAATCAGAGTCCCGATTCAAATAACTTTCCCTAAGGCAGAACAGTCAGTTTGTGGCCCTCCAGGTGATTTGGCTGATGGGAGTTGTAGACTAAAACATCTGGAGGTCCACAAGCTGACCTTCCCTGCTCAAGAGCGAAGAATGAGGAAGACAGAGCTGCTAGCTATGACTTTAAAGCAACCTGGGTTTCAGAAACTGTCAGCGAATCTACATGATAAATCTATATTGATTCTCTGCAGTTTTGACTGGAATGGCTTCTCCAGAATAACTGTAATTTGGGAAGGATGCCTTGAACCTTATGTAAAAATGTCCTACTATGTCATGAAAAACTATTAAACTGGTTTAAGTTCTTCCTAGAGTTAAGTCTTTGAGAAGAAACCCTGTGTCCCAACACACAAGGTCCAAAAAGCTCAAAAGAACATGGTATTCTACCCGACCCTGGTACTCTGTGTGCACGTGCGCATGCCCATGTGCCCAACACTTAGCAGACATCCTATATTTTGCAGCACATTTTTCATCCAAGTTAAGCACAATTGTGTAAAACTCCCAGGCAAAGAGATGAGTTTTGCACATAGGGCGGAGGGAAGAAGATGTAATGGCATATAGCAGCAGTATGGATGAAAAAGGAATGGGTGGCAGGAACAGTGTAAAGAAATCTAGCTGCTGAATCCTTGGAGAGAGAAGAAACAGTTTACAGAACTGTGGGTATTCCTGCACCTACAAAGACATGTCTCTAATGAGGTGAGAACAGCAGCTACAAGCAGCCACCCCCGTAGCCACCCACGACTGTGAATCTAACATCTCACTCGCTTGATTCTGCAATTAATTTGAATATACAACAGCTCTGTTCCTGTGGATGTGGGGAGAAGACTTGTGCGACTGACCAGAACACAGATTGAATTCAGTAAAGCTATCCATTAGGACAAGCAGAGCACTGTACAAGAAAGAACTTAAACGTTCCTACACCTCTCTGTTACTGAGGTCCACATGGTCCAGTGTCTCACCTTCCTCATTACCCCTGTGCCACTCTCGCATTTTTTGTGGTTAAATGTGCCCTGTTTGCTTGCTGCCATTAACCTCAGCTGTTGCTCTCCCTGCTCCAGCAGAGAGGCACTGTGGCTCAATGGGAGAGCCCCTGCTTTGCACGCAGGCGTTCCCAGGTTCAGTTGCTGGCACCTCCAAGTAGACCTGGAAGGAGACCTGCCAGGAACCTCCCACAGCCCCTGCCTGCCAGTGTGAACAAAGCAGGCCACGTGACCCTCAGCTGAATGCAGTATAAGGCAGCTTCCTGAGTCCGGTCTTCAGATTCTTCTCCCTCTCTCAGTGCAGTCCTCAGCTTTCCAAAAGAGAGGGATACATTTCACAACACCCTAAGCATTTGAAACATCTCTTCCATCATCTCAGAACTTCTGGGTTAGTCATCATGGCATCCAAGGCATCCAGCACACATCCTTGCTGTGCTAACGTCTCCCAAAAGAGGAGCTTTCCTCGCAGCCCAGTCACTGCCTACTATTCCTGCCCTACGACAAGGGACTAGCCCTTTGCTCTGCGTGGGCTGCAGAGCTGCTCCACGCTCACCGCCCACCATGTCCCTTCATCTTCGGTCACACATTCAGCAATCACTCTGCCCTTTTCCTAATGAACAGCAGCCTTTGCTTGATTAATAAGCTTAATCATCTGCAGGGCTGGATGCAATCATCTGCTGGACTTTTTTCTTCTCACAGGAGCTGATAGGACAAGATGTTTGCCTTGCACTGGTCCTGGAGAAACCGAGCTGCAAGATCAAACTCAAGGTGGGGCACCTATTCTTTCCACTGTTCCTCCAAAGCTCACAGCCTGCGGCTAATGGAGCCACCCTGGGAGTGGCCATTTCCAAGGAACCACACAGGCACACACTTAAGATCAGGGGTAGGGAACCTGTGGATGCTAGACTCCAACTCCCACCATCCGCACCCAGCTAGCATGGTGGCTGGGGATAATGGGAACTGGAGTGAGACAGAGTTCTGCACTGACACAAGTTGCCCACCCAGCTTTAGATCACCAACACCCGTCTTTCCTGCCACCCCCAGCATCCTGAGACAGAAGGAAACGAGGTGGTGATCTCGATCTAAAATGATTGATCTAGTCTTTGAGGATTAATCCAGATAGTGTCTTCTGTGTTCTAAGCTAGGTTTGCCATCTCCGATAGAATGAAACATCAGACCTCTGCCTTGTTTTATGGATAAAGCTGTTCATATAGTGCAAGCATTTCTAACATGGTCCATCTGGTTCCTTCTTGCTAACTCCTGACTACAGTCCAGGCAACGTAGGTGCACCACATTTGCATGGGCGCAAAGGTCTCCTTTTCTCCCCAGGGGAAATACAGGGGTTTGCCCAGATTGCCCAGGCAGACCAGTCAGTCCCTAGAACAAAGGAATGAAAGCACATGACCAGCAGACGGGATCTCAAAGCAGGCTGGTCACGTACAAAGCGACTGCTAGGAAGACCTGGGCTGCATCACACACACCAGTTAATGGGTAATTAACTAAGGCCCATCCTCAGTCCCCATCCGCCTTGCATGCACTGCGGCCATAATTGATGAACACTCGGAAGCAACAGAATGTGTAATGCACTTGGATGCCTCCACGCAGGCGTAATGTTATAATGCGACCAAATGTAATCCATCAGAAAGAGCTTCTTGAAGATTCCAGTCACAAAAGCATAAAAAGAGACGGTGCCTTGTGCTTGGGTCATTTTGCCATTTTCTCAGTTGCTGACAACCTTATTCTACAGAATAAAGATACAGCCTAGACCCTCACATTCTTGTTGCGTTCACTGGGCTAAGCATGCCAAGACTGGACCCTTTGAGTCCTTCATCCCCCTTCCCAAGCAGCAACGTGGGTTGCAGTCCCAGCTCCTACCCTTAATGCCGAGTTCACAAACCCCAAAGACTGACGCGCTCTGTTTTTACCTTTGACCTATGAACTTCACCATCGTCATCCTCCCCCCCAACCCCCAGGATCTTCCGTGTCTTCAGACGGCTCACAAGGTCTGTCTGGCTGTGCTTTTTCATCAGAGGTGGGGGCTGCTTGGTTGCCATGGTGACTCACAGGTAGTCTGGCTTGGACAGGAGCTGAAATGAAACAGACTAGAGGTTAGATAAACCAGCAAAATGCATTATTTCAAGAGGGCCAAATCCAGAAAAAAAGTGAGTCACTTTGAAGAAAAGATCATTTCTCTTCAATGCAAAGTGGCGTTCGGCCCAATCAAATATGGCAGCCCGTAACACCTGTGTTACTCACACAGAAAAAGAAGAATAGCCATTTATTAGCTCCTAAAATTAAACCAATAAGCCCCTCTCCAGTTTCTTTTTGAGCAACAGAGTCTGTACTTCCTCATGCACCTTAAGGATGAATGCATGGGAATTTGGCAGAGGATCAACCTCTTCTCAGAAGGGCTGCAGGTAGACCTGGATAACTTCCAGAAGAGAAGCACAACAATGGCAGGCCCAAAATAGGTGTCACTGCTCCATTGTAAACTCCCAGGATGGTTCTTAAGTCTTCAAAGAATCAAGCTTCAGGTTCTCTAGCTCCAGAATAAGCTATAAAAATAAAGGTTAGGCCCACGCACGTTTTTACTGTATCTTAATATTTCTATATCACCCCATTCCCATAAATCACAACTTGCATTTTGTAGGAGGAGAAAAGTTTCATTAGCATGATGCTTGCAGAAGAAATGGGTGAACTGATGAGCATAAACACTTTGCTGAGTAGATGAATTACTATGCCCCTCTGCTACCCAAACTTTTGTCACAAGCCCTTCCACCAAGGAGCTGCAGCACCATCCATGGCTCTGCTCTGATTTTATTCTTGTAAGCACCTTTGTAAGGCATGCTAGACTAAGAGAGAAACTAGCTTGGGGTTCCCAACGTGGTGCCCGTGGACTCCTCCTTTGGTGCTCACCAGGCTACTAATCTCTGCTGAGGTTTAAAATTATCACTGCTCTCCACGCAGGCTGCAGAGTGAAGTGCCAGCCTCCGGCATCGGATTGATGTCCAGGAACATGGCAGGAAGTAGCCTGGGGAGACGGAAAACGAGGATGCTGCTTCCTGTATGGTGGAGAGATTGACTGCATGCACATATAAAGTGGAGCATTTGTTTGCATGCAGTGTAAATTATGCCTTGGCCCTCGCTTGCTCGCTTTTTATGTGCCTGTGCACACACATAGTTGCACTTCAACGTCATTGCTTTGCAGTGTGCGTGGTTATGTGTGCTTGAAAGGGAAAAATAGCTGAACTGGCATTTCTGCCTTGTACTCAGTTTCTTAGACATGTCACCATTTCCGAGCCTGAGTCTTCAGAGAAATGGGTAAGAGGTGTGTGTGTGTGTGTAGGTCAAAACAGTATTTTCATATTTTCAAAGCTCAGACCCTACACTCCTGCCTTTTACTTTAGGCTAAACTACTTTTCTTTGAGTCCCACCACGTTGCCTTCTGGAAAACTTTTAATTGCCCTTCCCCAGCCTGGTGGATGTTTTGTGAAATGAACCCTGCCCCCCATCCCCTCCCCAATCCATCCCATAGCAGCTCTTTTCAAGAGGGCCCATGGCACTGCTGAAATATTCGAAACTTGCAAAAAGGTCGAGGAGCCCTGGACTAGCCTAAACTCACCCCACAAGTTTCACCGTGCAAATGGCGACTTGAGCGGGTCTCCTTGGACCTCGCCCAATGGCCACCGCACTACCTTGATCGCCCCACTGAGAGTTCTTTGGTCCGCAGAATGAGAGACCCCTTGACGCTAACCAGGGTCCCATCATTCCTCTCCCAGTAGATTAGCATTTGGGGTATTTGCAGTTTCCTTAGGTTCTGAAGTCAAACCCAGCCATAGGAGGAAAGCCATTGAAGGCCATTGCAGCATAAACCTTTTTTCACACATGTTCCACTGAAACATCTGCTCTGTCTCCTTTTACCTTGCTGGTTATAGTAGGTGGGAGAGTTTTGCTGTCAGAAGAGAGCTTGTGGTCTGTCTAGGCTGTAGAAAGTCAGAAGACTTATGGATCCAGAATCTATTAAAACGGCAAGTTATTGAGTTGTGCCAATGTGCCTTAAACCTAGCATCCCATCTGCTAGAAGAAGTGAAAATATTGCAAGGGGCGGGGGTTGAACAGAAGAGGCATCATGCATTTTGAGGGAGGGCAGGAAAGAACATATGTTAGATATCCGTAAGTGAAACAACAGTGAATATTCCACATTAGTACTCCTGTCCAAAAGCCTATTTTCTCCCAATAGGAAGCATGTCCTATTAATGTTGATGGAACTGGCTTTCAAACAAGCATGCATATCTCCATTTACAACTGGGTGATAACTGGCATGTGAGGAGTGCCTTTCTTTCAAGTAACCCAGGTGCCCAGTAACAGGAATGGGGGGTACGTGTGTGTGTGAAGCACTGGCCTCCATGGGAAGAGGGTGCTAAAAGTCAGATTGTATGTTTTTGTTGCTGTTCTGTGCCATCAAGTCATCTTCCACTTATGAAGACCCTATGAATGAAAGCCCAAAATGTCCTATCCATGACAGCTCTGTTCACCTCTTGGAAATTCAAGGCTGCGGCTTTCTTTACGGAATCTGATATTTGGTCTTTTCTTCTTCTGCCTTCAACTTTCCCTAGCATGATTGTCTTCTCCAAGGAATTTTGCATTCTCATAATGTGCTCCATGTATGACAACCTCAGTTTGCTAATTTTGCGTCTAGGGGAAGCTCTGGCTTGACTTGATCTAGAATTTGTTTGTTCATTTGTCAGCCCAGGGTATTCACAAAGCTCTCCTCCAGATTCATGTTTTGAATGCATCAGTTTTCTTCCTGTCAGCTTTCTTCACTCTCCAGCTTTCACATCCATTCATAGTGATCAGGAATGTGGTAGTGTGGATAATCTCGGCCTTGCTCACCAGTGAAACTTCCTTACACTTGATTATCTGTTCTAGATCCTTCATTGCTGCCCTTCCAAGTCTCAGTGTTCTTCACATTTCTTGACTGCAATGTCCATTGGAGCTGATGACTAAGATGAGTGTATCACCTCATAATTTCAGGCAAAGCTGCTCAGCGTATTCTATTGTTCCTCTATATACAGATGCTTGTCAGAAGAACCCAATTCATGGTTTTGTTGCATGGTTCAAGGATAGACAGGGAAAACTCTTTATGGGTAGAAAGGGCTGGAGGCTTTATAACGTTTGCTCAGCTACAGATGTGCTTTTCTGCTATGATCTCAGCCGTTATAAACTTGCCATTCTAGGAGAAATGCCATATCCCATTCTTGCACTCATTGCATGGAAGGGTGACCTCCAGCTGTTTTGGACTACAACTCCCATTGGTGCCAGGCAGCATGAGCAATGATCAAGATTGGTGGGGACTGTAGTCTGAAGTATCTGGAGGACTGCAGGAACATCTCTCTCCGGTTGTTTGAGAATACAGCCCTCCCCTGATTTTGTTCAGATTCTCCAACAACAGTGTTTCTTCCCTTTGTTAGACACAAGGTTGACTCCCTTGGGCATTCTGAAATTTGATGCTCATAGTAAGCTAGGATGGCAAGGACAGGGAGAGTCAGCCAATGGAGGGATGAGGCAACAGGAGTTAGATCACCTCAGTGATTTTCTTTTTTCTAAAGGGAGCTCATATACTCCCAAAACATGCTTGACCCACTAACAGTGAAACAGCTGGCACTAGACCCACGAGGTTGCTCCCAGGCAGGCATTCTCTGAAAAAGTTAAGGAAACTATGATAATGTGGGCACAAAACTTTGGATATAATATTGAGCTAAAGAAATGGCAAAAGCTGTGGGAAAGAAATATTAAAGTAACATTAGCAACCTCATATAAAGAAAATCTGTATAAAAAGTTTTATAGATGGTATCTATCGCCAAATAGATTAGCTATGTTGTTTCCAAACATGTCAAATGGATGTTGGAAATGCAAACATAAACCGGGTACCTATGTGGTGGACCTGTGATAAGGCAAAAAAATACTGGGTTAAAATACACAAATGGCTTGAGGGAATGTTACAAAAACCTCTAATATTTAAACCTGAAGTGTTCTTATTAGGCATTGTACCTGATGATGTTGGTAATCAAGCAATGTATCTGATTCTACATGTAACTACTGCAGTGAGGATTGCATTTGCCCAACATTAGAAAAGTGAAGAACCACCTACCGACGAACTGATCCTAAAAAAGATCTTGGACTGTGCCGAAATGGACAGATTGACTTTGAAGGAGAAAGAGGATACAGAGTTCTATCAAACTTGGCTAGAGAAACGGGACTATGCACAGACTTAAATATGTTAATGGATTACTATAAGTATGGGGGGCTGATCCAGTAGGTCTGACACTTTTGATGATTGATGATTTTTAGTTTCCTTTTGTTAGTTAGGAGAAAATAACAATAATAATAATTAAAAAAAAGATAGCTCCCAGGCAGGCATTCTCCAGGGCTCTTTCTGGGCTAGACCAGTGGAAGCCCCGTGCAGCATGTGATGGAAGGGCCTGGCCTGCCGCTTGTCACGGGGCACTTCCAGGCTAATGGCTCCCAGCCCTTCCCCTCAAAGGTGCTGTGCAGCTCCTTTCCCTAGCGCTGTGTCAAAACCTCACCTGGTCTTCTGCAGCCTCTTTGTTTCCCTGTGAAACAGGCAGCCATTTCTCTGCCTCATTTGTTGGCAAGTTGAGAATTCAGAGATGCTTCTCCAAGTGCAGGGCTTCCAAGCATACCTTGGGGTAAGAGGAAGCGGAAGCATGATGTGTGTGCTCTTTCTGGCTATTCTCTACAGCTCTTATCTAATTCTGCCTCTCCAGCTGCTTAATCTTCTTGAAAAGGCCCCACGGGGGAAGATCCCTTGGAAAGGCCCCTAGAGGGCTTAAGCAAGCTCTCCTCTTGGGACTTTCCAGTACTGCTGCTTGCTGAGGGCTCAAAAGCTGAGTGAAGCATTGTTGGTTTTGCTTTGCTGTTATTAAAAGCCAGAAGAAGAAGATGGAGATGGAGAAGGAAAAGGGGGAGACCATGAAGGCAGCTGTGTGCTCAGCAGACAGCAGCAGGCAGAAGTCACAAAGAAGGAACTCCTGGCCATCTCCTGCGGGGATTTCCCAGAAGTTCA